TGTGCAGCGGCTCATCAGAGCACGCCAGAGATGATTAGTGATCCCCGAGTGCGAGCAGAAGGCGAGAACAAGCCGTCGGCGCCAGCGACGATTGCCGCATCGGGTGACTCAATCAAGCGGGAGTGGGCTCACTACCATATGTGGGCCGGTGTCTTCGGACACGAGCTCGGACTCAACCCAGACCGTGACTGGGAAGAGAGCGTGAAACAGCTCTACACAGGCGCAATCGCGCAAACCGCTTTGTCTACGTGTCTGGGAGATGTTGATCATGGCTATAAGGCCCTCCCTAAGGTGGCACGGATCAACGACGAGGGGTTGTCGCGTTTCCAGCCCGGCGATAGCCGTGGCCGTGAAAAAGCCTGCATCATTGTTTCCGACTCTACCCTCATTTTCAAGGCTGGGGCGAGAACATTCGTTGAGATGGCGGAAGACTTTAAAGCTCTGACGGGGCCTGGTCATATCCTTCAGCAATACACGAATGTCCGGCAAAAGGCGATTTGGGGAGGCAACCTCCACTCGATCGTTGAGGCAGTTCACACGCTCTTGCCGCAGATCATCAACGAATCGTTAAACCCCTTGCATCTCGAGGTCGATATCGTTGTTGTGTGGATGGGCAACGAACTGTGCGGTCGCAGAGGTGTCTTCGTCGACCCAGGAACGCCACACTGGCAGATTGGTCCTGAAGGCGTTGCCGCGGAAGGGATCTGGGCGGACATTGCCGCACGTGTGTGCGGCGAAATCGGCCGTCTAGCCGCCCTTCAGGGCAGGCCAACAGTGGGTTCGATACAAATCCTCTCGGATGCCGACCCACTGGACTATGGGCTGCCAGCGGAATACAGAACAGCTATCCGAAAATTCCTCGGATACGCAAGGAGCAGGGGGTTATACACCGCTTCGCTCAAAGAAAGCGTATGCCAGATCCCAAAGCACGACCACTACCACTTCCGCGAAGACTCTGCGCATCGCGCAGCCTTGGCCTCTGTTATCGGGCAGCGGATTAAAGTGTGTCAAGCTGACCACTTATTCGCAAAAATGCCCTCAGAGACGCTGGACGAGCTGGCCCGCCGTTTCCCCTTCGACCCAGAAGGAACGCGGGTATATTCCATGCAGTATGTCTTCGACAAGGCGCTGTATCGGTCCCAGCTCTCCCGCCGCCTTTTAAGGCAGGCCGAGATTCGCGAAGCTGCGAATGAATGCCCTGACCCATGGGAATCCCCTTATGTTCCTCCACCTGATCTCCCGGTCACTGGAATGCGTGAGGTACCTCAGGATGTCCTGAATTGGGAATGGGCCACAGCTCGTGAACAGGCGCAAAAGCGTGCGAAAGAGCAGGCGGAAGCACGTGCCCGTGCTGAGCGAAAGGATCCAGCCCCACTTAGTGGTGGCCCATCTGGCAGTGCATCATCTCGCGACGTACCGGAGGTGTCCTTTGACGATGTCATCGAGGCCATCCCTTATCGCACTGAGTCACACCGTACTCTGTCAGCGGCGAAAGAGGGCATGACCAAGAAGGACCGGGACCCTTCCAGCGGCCTTTTAAGGGCTCGCCCACACGACTACATTGGGGTGAAATTCCAAGATGACTTGGACCTGATGGAGATGTGTGGCTTCGTCGATGAAGATGTGTGTCCGGAGGATCCTGAGGGGAGCGAGATCGTCCAGATCCTCCCCGATTCGATCCCGAAGGACCACCTCCCTGAGTTAGGCCTCAAACCCTATGTTGAGCGCTACCTCACAGGTGCTGTCCGAGGGTCGAACGTGAAGCTCAGCTCACGGCGAGGCAAATGGGTACGCATCCAAGACCTCATTCAGCACATGTGGAAGAAGCACCGTGTGGATCTGGGAACACGAGGTATCTTGTCCATAGTCGCCTACGATAACAAATCGAGGTTTAACTTGGCAGGCCTCCCCACCGATCCACGTGCTGACTTCGTCGAGACGGACATTTGGCCGTCGTGGATCTGTGCGTCACATGGTCACAGTGAACGCATCAAAGATCAGGTGACTGATTCCTCGATTGCTCTGCATTGGTTCACGAACGAGACGCGTGAGGAGCTTGGTCCTACAGCCGCCTATCAAGGCAGGCCATTCCTTGCTCTTGGGGAGTTTCCCCCACGCCTGTATCATCGAACCACGCATGATTCAGCTTTCAATATTCTCTCTACTGGCTTCACAGCTGGCTTCAACCGGAGCGGGAAGTTTCACAACTACTTCGCGAAGGCCACGCTGAGCGAGCTTGAGAATAAAGCTGGCAGCCGAGCAAACCTTCCTTATGAAGTTGTTCTCGACACTCAGGAGGTGAACCGCTATGCCTACCTGTTTGAAACAACTTCCGAAGGCATACTCACGCGCGACCCAGTGCCAGGATCTTGTGTGCTCTACATCAGGGACACGATCAAAGGCATCATTCTGTGGTCGCGTCAGTCCAGCGAGGAAGAGGACACCATCATCCCGGAGACTGCCCAGGATCCCATTGTCGATCCTGGAGCAGCTGAGCCGGAACAGTTCCCCGATGTACCGGAGGAACCTTCAGCCCCACTTAGTGGTGGCCATGAAGAGGTCGAGACAACAGCGTCTGCAACAGCAGACGAGCCTATGGTCGAAGTTGAGGTTGAGGTGGCACCACCAGCATCATCGCCAGAACCTCTTGCACTCAACGACGCCACAGCATCCGACTTCCTTCCGGAGGAAACCACAACATTGGACCAGGGGGGTGCTTCTCCACCGGAGGCACCGACTGAGTCCAGAAAGCGTGTCCGTTTCCTCGAGCCGGAAGATCCCGTTGAAGTCGAGATCGAGATCGAGCCTGAAGAAGGCGATGTGAAAAAGGAGGAGGAGATCAAGATCGAGCCGATGTTCGAGCAGGCACCGCCTCAGCCAGAATCGACTCCTTTGGCTCTCCCTCCAGCCCCCGTTACGGGTGGCCGCCACAGGGCATGTCCTCACTGCGGTACTCAACACCTTGTGGGACAGATGATATGCTTGAGCTGTGGCGTGCACATCGTGAAGCCTTCTCAGCAGAACGCACGCAAGAAAGCGCGTTCAGCTCGCTGGTTCGCTGAAGAGGCAGCCGCCGCCGCTGCGGGCAAGCCACGTTCCCAGCTTACACCGGAGGAGGTCATTCATGAAATGACCAGAGATTCTTCAACACAGCGGGGAACGACATCGCTTGACGCAGAGGCGCTGGACAAAGCCCGGCAGCAGCTCAAGATGGCTACAAAAGGAGGCTACACAAGCATCGTACACCGGTTCGATAACGATGTGGACTACACAATGAGTTCCATCGGCAATGGGTACGATCGAGAGTTTCTGGCCATCGAGGACGTGCTTACGCATGCTGCCTTGCCGAACCATGGCCGTTCAAAGGAGCAACGACAGCTAGCTGTCGGGACCTATGGTGGAAGCTCCGAAGGGCCACGGAACCAGGAGATCGCTCGGTTGCTCTACCTGCACGACTGCAATCCAGCCGCCCTTAGGGCAGGCCTGATCTCCGCAGTGAGTGACGATCCGTTTTGCATCATGTGGCTGGGAGGGGCATACAGTTTGCGTAAATTCGTAGATGTTTTCCTCCAGCACAAAATCGTGAAGATGATTGTTACTTTCTCAGAAGAGGCACTCTATGTTGATCCAAGACTCGGCTATTCTGCTGAGGACTGGACTGAGTGGCTCCGTGAGAAATTCGCGGAACAGGTCGGAATTGCACGCCGTGCATACGAAGAGCGACAGCGCAACGCTGAACGCTCTCGCATCGCGCAAGCCAAAGCTGATGCCCGCAGAGCAGAGCAGCAGCGCTACCAGGAGCAGGGATGGGATCGCGGCTACCAGCGAGGATCCCACCCCTATGGCCGCTCCTCCGGTTCCCGGGGATGGTACTAAGTACCTGACCCACATTTCGTGGTTCCGTCACGTTAACCGGTACTCCGAAATACAGCCCCTCTTAGAGGTGGCCGAATTTCCTTAAGACCAGAAAAATTTCATCTTGCATCATCTGGCAGTCACTTTGTGACAACTCCGACACCAGGTCTTTGGACCTCGAGGGGATTCGTCAGCAGCTCCAGTGGATGATGTATTCGTCCCATGCTGCACATGTCTTGCGACTTGTATCCACGCCATCATTCAAGGCTTGCTGGATCGTCGCCATTTTATAATGCATGTCGCGACTTTAAACTGCGCGCTAAAAGAATTAATCTGCTTCCGTATCTTCCGCTTTACGGTAGTAGAAAGCCTATGAGCCCCGAGCCACAATCCAGCCGCCTTTACGGCAGGCCACACAGCACCAAGCTTCCGTGCATGTTTGCGCCTCAGACTGACGCTTCGGCGAGGGGGGTGTAATTTGTGCACGTGTGAAGTAGCATGTTGTGTGTACGGCATTGTGGCATAAGTGCTCTAGCAGGAAAAAGGTAGATACCCAATGGTATTCTGCTGTGTTTGCTAACACTTGGACGGGTATATTATCAGTGCGTGTGTGCAGTGGTTTACAACAACTATAAGGCTTGAGGGTTTAGGTTTTAGGGTTTAAGGGTTGAGGGTTTAGGTTTTAGGGTTTAAGGGTTGAGGGTTTAGGGTTTAGGGTTTAAGGGTTGAGGGTTTAGGGCTTAGGGTTTAAGGGTTGAGGGTTTAGGTTTTAGGGTTTAAGGGTTGAGGGTTTAGGGCTTAGGGTTTAAGAGTTGAGGGTTTAGGGCTTAGGGTTTAAGGCTTGAGGGTTTAGGGTTTAGTGCTTAGGGTTTAGGTTTGAGGGTTTAGGGATACACGGTTCCGGGTTTAGCTTTCAAGGTGCTGAATCTGAAGGGTTCCCAGCCCTCTCTGCCTCAAGGTCTACCTATGCAATCATGTAGACGGAGTCCCTAAACCCCTAAACCGAGTAGTAGAGTAGGTAACCTTTAACCTTCTTGGTGTAGTATAGCCCATAAAAAATCCCTATATAACCAAAAAGGTTAACCTTTAGATCCCCATGATACGTAAGAAAACGCACTACGCAACTAAACCACTAATCCACACAGGGCGCCCTATGCGATCATGTGGACGGAGTTGGTATGCTTCGTGGTCATCGTGGGCATGGGAGGGGGGCTGGAGGCCGGGAGGTGTCGGATCTGCTTTTTTCTTTTAAGAGTTGGGGTTTAGGGTTTAGGGTTTAGGGTCTAGGGTTTAGAGTTTAGGGTTTGGGGTTTAGGGTTTAGGGTTTAGGGTTGATGAGATGGGGTGACATCCTTCCCCACTGTTGAAGCAAGATCCATCGGACACTGTAAGCTCAAAGTCCTGAACGCCCCTGGAACCCAAGCCCAAAACCCTACACATCCTTAACTAATCCCATAAACATTCCTAGTCGCTAGACCCCAACCCTAAACATCCCTAGACCTTACAAGAGGGGCCTCAATTAAAAATTACCTATACTGTTTTGGGGTTCCTTATTAGAATTAGATTAGAGTGTAATGGGCCCCAAAACCATATTCCAATTGTTGAGGTTCCTATATAGCACTACTTAGAGGATCACGGGACTTAGTAAGTAGGGTTAGAAGTACCTTAATGAAGGTTATAAGTAGATACAACTATAGTTACCTTACTTAGAACCCTACTTACTAAGTCCCCTGATCCTTTCAGAGAGCCCATTACCCCTTAGTTGAGGCATATAGCTTAAGTCATAATATGAAGCCCTATACATAATTTAAGCCATATTCCTTAATTAAGGGGTATTGGGCTCTCTGGGTACTTACTTTACTTATAACCCTACTTACTAAGTCCCCTGACCCTCAACCCTAAACGCTAAACCCTAAACCCTAAACCCCTAAGTAGACTGGCGGCAGGGGTCGGAGACTGCAGAGGGTACGGCTTATTCTAATTTGGGTTCCTCAAGAGGCTCTTGCTCCACATCAGAAGAGGAAAGTTTTTCGAGGGTCTTACAGGGTGTTTTTGGGTTTTATGAGGGTTTTATGGTGTTTACTTGTTTTATAAGCTTTCCGTGGTGTTTCTATAACGGTCTCATGGATTTCATACATCCGTGCACGCCTTTATGCAAACTCAACACCTAAGCCTTAGGGCCAACACCCCAAACACCAAATCCCAAGCGCCAATCCCTAAAGCCTAAGCCTTGAACCTTCAGGGAACAGGGCATGTTTCCGAGATATTGTTGTCTCTGGGTTCCTGCTTGACAGTCTAGAGTTCGATCTTTTCACGCTTGCGGCCTAGAGCCTCTAGAGCGTAGGGTTTCGGATGTGGTGTTTCGGATTCCGGGCCTAGGCATGCTGCCAGAGGAGCAGGGGCCTTAGTAAGTAGGCTATCAAAATTATAGTAAGGGGACCCCGCTTGCTAATTACCAATACTGCTCCTCAGGGTTACCACTATAACTGCAGTATATACTCCAAAAACCGACAGTCAACCCTAAACCCTAGACCTCATACGGTTGATGATATATATCCTGCATTACCCATAATAAGGAATATACCATAATTCCCATAGTTTGGGGTCCTTAAGGTAATGCAGGATTTATATCATCAACAGTAGTAAGGGGACTCCGCTTACTACGGCTCCTCAGCCAATAAAGTAGGTGCAAGGCTTGGGATGTATGTGGGTGGTTGTCAAAATTATGGTGCCTTTTGGGGTCCCTCATATCGTACGGCACCTAATATTTAGGGCACCCAAAAAGGGACCATAATTTTGGCAACCATCCATGTCACGGGCTTTGGGTTCTAGTTGATATAGCAGCCTGAATAATTACCAATACTGTTCCTCAAGGTTACCATTATAATTTGTAGTATATACTCAAAACCCCATCCTAAACCGTAAACCCTAGACCTCAAACCCTAGACCCTAGACCCTGAACCCTAAACCCTAACCCCTAAAGGCCGAATATACTCCAAACCCCTGTTCGAAGCATTAAGGCCCACGAAGTTCAGGGCTTCGGGACTTTAGGGTGTAGGGTTTTCGGGACTTTCGGGTTTAGGGTTTTAGGGTTTTGGGGTTCCTTTAAAGGGTAATCTAAGGGTTCCTTTAAGGGATCTATAAGGGTATAGGTTTTCGGGACTTTCGGGTTTAGGGTTTAGGGTGTAGGGTTTTGGGGACTTTCGGGTTTAGGGTTTTAGAATTTAGGGTTAGGGTTTAGGGCTTTAGGGGTTAAACTCAACTTTTTAACTTTTAGGGTTCTTACAAGGTAGTCGATTCTGAAAGTTTCGACGTTTATTTGCTTGGGTTGTGGATCTGTGAGTAAAACTTACTCGATCATGTAGCTTGGTAAGAGGAGTTATCGGCAGCTTTTTCAGTGTTATAAGTATATATACCCGTGGCAATACTTTACTTAGAACCCTACTTACTTAGTCCCCTGATCCTTTAAGTAGGTTGAAGGCTTGAAGATGTGGTGTAGGGATTTCGGGGTAAAGTTTGATTGTTTGGGGTTAGGGTTCAGGGTTTAGGTTTTAAGGTTGGGGGTTTAAAGTTTAGGGTTTAGGGTTTGTTTGCGGTTAGGTTTGACTGTTTCAGGCTTGGGGTTTAGGGATTAGGGCCGAGGGTTACGAAAACCCCGGCAGGTTTTTCTCAAGCAGAATGTCGTTCAGGACCTCAAGTACAGCTGCCCGGCGAAATTTTTAATTGCACACCATGTGATGATACCGTTAAGCTCTTTGCCCCAAACACTAAGCGCTTGCCAATATAGTGGCCTTCGAACGCCTTTTGGACATCATTGAAACAACGACCAAAGATTCTCTAAACCCCACGCCTTAAACCGTAAGGTTTTAAAGCATTTTGCGTGCAAGCCTGCCAACGGGCAGGGTCCCCAGAGACTCCAATATCCCTTAATTAAGGAATATTCCTTAAATCATATTAGGGATCCTACTATAATCTGAGGAATATTCCTTAATTAAGGGATATTGGCGTCTGTGCGCCGCACTGGGAAAAGGCCCACTGAATTTAAAGAAAGATTCTAAAGCCCTTATCAGGGTTTAGGGTTTAGGGTTCTAAAGCCCTTATCACAGGATCCGTTTAGTTCCAAGTTTCTCGGGCTTTCGGTCGGGGAGGCTGTCAGGCGATAGGGTTATGGCTGAAAACGGTTTCGGGTGTAGGGCTTAGGGCTTAGGGTTCAGGGTTCAGGGCATATTAGGGTTTAGGGTTTAGGGCATTTTAGGATTTAGGGTATTCAGGCGATAGGTCGATAGCTTCACTGAGCAGTCCAAAACGCAACTTTTCAACTCTTGGGGCTCTTATAAGGTAGTCATATCCTGAAATGTTGAAATTAATGTTTATATCATATCCCATGAACCAAGTTTAAGTGTTTCGGGTTTAGGGTACTTGGGCTCAGTGTCTCAATTTCTCCACCCTAAGCACGACGAATAGCAAGAAGCCCCGCCCATCAAGTTGTAAACGTGCTTGCTTACCAGAGCTTATGCCAGAAGTTCCATCTTGTAAGATTTCATATTCCAACCCATGTTCTATCCGTTGAGGCCCCTATATTGTTAACCGGTGGCCTCACAGCAGAGTTTTGCCGGATCTGCTAAGTACCGCTGTTAGAGAAATTCTTGTTTCTTTCATTTCGCATTGTCGAACACTGCCTAACTCTAATAATTTTCGGGGTTGTTGTTGTCAACACGGAGGCTGTTGACATCGACACTGTGCTTATAAAATTGCAGGTGGTTCCGAAATGTGCCAAACTATTAGGATGCCGGTAGAGTAAGCCAACAGCAGCTGCAGGGTTCAGTTGGGAGTAGGGGTTCTTAGTAAGTAGTTCTTGCATAGGTTGTAAGTATCATAACCCCAACTACGAGCCCTTGTAAGGTACAGTACTTAGAACTCTACTCACCCCGTACTTACTAACACTAAACCCTAAACCCCAAACCCTAAACCTAGACCGCAAATCCGAAGCCCTAAGCCTACTTGCTACATCCCCGAGCAATCCATATGGGGATCCGCAATCGTCCTTAGCCCCTAGTTGGAGGATCAGGGGGCTTACGCAATAAGTAGCTTACGGGCATTAAGCCCTGAACCCGATACGCCCACCCCTAAACCCAAACTTCAGTGGCCAAAAAAGCACATAAGCACAAGCATTTTATAGGGATATCACTGCCTTAATGGGCTTCATTATAAGGGGGTGTATATGGGATATCCCTATCCTAATTTTTGCTTCTGTGCTTTTGTGGTGCCCTAAAACTGCCAAACCCTAAACCCAAAACCCAGCCCAAACCCTGCCCCCCTAGCTTTAATAGCTGGAATGGGGTTTTGGGGTGCCTCGTTTTTGAATTAAATATGGTCTACACCACTGCCCATAGGCCTCATAGTAGTTCCTTCTTGAAGTTCATATGTTGAATCCTGTAAGGTAATCCCAAAGGGAACTACTATGCAGCCTATCTCAGAGCCTCCAAAACCCCTTAATTAAGGAATATACCTTAAATCATATACGGGATCCTATTATTATTATTATTATTTAAGGTATATTCCTTAATTAAGGGGTATTGGAGTCTCTGGGTAAGGCCGGGTGACTGAAGAGCTCAGCGCAGCCACGGCACTTCTTCGTTTGACCTGTGGCTTGGACTTCGCGGAGTGTTTTGTAATGTCAATACCGAAAGTGCAGGTCAACACCCAAGGAGCCCAATACGACTTAATTAAGGAATATGGCTTAAGCTATACAGGGCTTCATATCAGGATTTGTGCTATATTCCTTAAACAAGGGGTACTGGGCTCTCTGAGAAACTGCGGGTCAACACTTTGTGGTAGTGTTGCCGCAGGGTGCATTGTGTACTGGTTGGAAGTTTTGAGTTTTGAGTACAGGCCCCGGGGCTCAGAGTTTTTAGTTTTTGGAGACTTCACATTTAGGGTGGAGGGTTGAAGGCTTAGGGTTTAGGGTTCAGGGTTTTGATTTTTGGAGAGTTCTCACATTTGGGGTTTAGGGTTGAAGGCTCAGGGCTAAGGGTTCAGGGTTTAGGGTTCAGGGTTTTTAGTTTTGGAGAGTTGTCACAAAGATCTAGCACGGTTTTTTGTGTGAAATCGATTTAACGTTGCTCGCGAGGAATTGTTGAGGAGTCTTTGGAGATGTTTTAAAAGCCCCGCGTCGGTTTTGAGTTAAGGAGGGTTTGGGGCGTCGGGGTTGCAGGTTTCGTGGGCATGCTGCATGGTTTTAAGTTATACACGTTTAGGGTTGAGGGCTTGGGGTATAAGTTGTTGAGTGTGCGTAAGGTGCTTAGGTTCATACAAACGTGTTTGTTTATGCTTACGGCTTGGGGCTTGAGGCTTTCTTACAGATTTCCAGGTACAAGCAGCCCTAAACCTTAAACCCTAAACCCTAAGCCCTCAACTTTAGCGTTTAGCGTTACAGGACGGGGTTCGGGCACCACGCTGTACGAGGTTTCGCTGGAGGGTCTGCAACCGAAAGCCTGCAACAACTTGTGCCCATGACCGCCGAGAAGTTTAAGAGTTTACGGTTCAGGGTTTAGAGTTTAGGGCTTAGGGTTTAAGGTTCAGGGTTTAGGGTATATGGTTTAGGGTTTTTGGTTCAGGGAGTATGTAACCGCAGCCTTGCAAGGCCGTAACCAAGTGTCTAAGATACCTATGGGTTGTTGAGGGTTCAGAGCATGATGTTGGGAGCATAAAAGCTGTACCATGTGGGCATCGCGACCTTTAAAGAGACCTTTCCACTCCTAATGCCCAGGGTTCCGTGAGGACATCTAACACTAAGCCTGAATACCAAAGCCCAAAACCCCTAACCTCGAACAGCAGGGCTTATCAATAGAGGGGCCTGAAGAATCAGCAAAAGCACTCCATAGCGTTCTTACTAAGATCATGGTAGAATGCTCTCCAAAACCCCATTCGTCCCCCCCATTCGCCCCTACATTATCTTACGTCTGGTTCCTAATTCGCCCCTAAACCTACTTAAACTTCATAAAACTTAGCAACTAGTCATAAGTACGTGTGTTCGAGCTACCCCCCTACCAGGTCCCCTGATCCCCCAAGCAAACCAGAAACCCTAACCCTGAACCCTAAACCCTAAACCCTAAACCCCCAAAACCCTAAACCCCTAAACCCGAAAATCCCTACACCCTAAACCCTAAACCACCAAAAACCCTAAACCCTAAACCACCAAAAGCCCTAAACCCTAAATCCTAAACCCCCAAAATCCCTAAACCCCCCAAAACCCTAAACCCCTAAACCCCAAAATCCCTAAACCCTAAACCCCCAAAATCCCTAAACCCTAAATCCCAAACCACCTCTAACCCTACTTACTTACTAAGTCCCATGATCCTCTAAGTAGTGTCTTTTAATATAGGCATCCTAGAAACCCTAAACCTTAAACCCCCAAAAACCCTAAACCCCAAACCCCAAAATCCTTAAACCCTAAATCCCTAAACCCTAAATCCTAAACCCTAATCCCTAAACCCTAAATCCTAAACCCTAATCTCTAAACCCTAAATTCAATTCTTAAACCCAAAGCAGCTGAGGCGATGCCGTCGTGGAGCTCGATGAGGCTCCGCTTCGTAGGTTCCCAGAGCCTCCAAAACCCCTTAATTAAGGAATATACCGTAAATAATAAAAAAATAATAACAATAATAACAATAATAATAATAATCATAATCATAATAATCATAATAATCATAATAGTCATAATAATCATAATAATCATAATAATCATAATAATCATAATAATCATAATAATCATAATAATCATAATAATAATAATAATAATAATAATAGTAATTAATAGTAATAATAATAATAATAATAATAATTAATAGTAATAATAATAGTAATAAAAAATAATAATAGTAATAATAATAATAATAATAATAATAAAAATAACAATGATAATAGGATCCCTTATATGATTTAAGGTATATTCCTTAATTAAGGGGTTTTGGAGGCTCTGGGTTTTACACAGCCAGGGCTCCTTTGTGCGGGTTGCTAAAAAGGGATCTTTTAGGGGTTTCGGGTTTAGGGGTTTCGGGTTTAGTAATAGGGGTTTCGGGTTTAGGGTTTCGGGTTTAGGGTTTAGGGTCTAGGGTTTATAGGGTTTAGGGTTTATGGTTGAGAGTCTAGTATAGGTTCAGGGTCGAGGGTTTCGGAGTTCAGGGTTGAGGGGTTTTAGGGCTCACTGAGGGCCTTACTGTAGGAGTTTTGATAAGGGTTTCTAGAATTGCTATATTAAGGTGATACTATCAAGGTCTCCGCGAAGGTTATCGGGTTTAGCGCTTTCAGGGTTGGCTCTAGGGGGCCGTGAATAAGTGGTAATCTTCTTGCTTACACTAGACTCGTAGATAGCATGCAAGCATTCCCTCCCTTGGTAGTCAAGGCTTGAGGTGTAGGGCGCAGGCTTCCGATTTTGAGGTTTCGGGCTTGTCTTGAGGTTAGAAGCCATGTGTGTTTATATGTCCGTCACATACATATATACATGTATGTGTATATATGTATATACAGTTGTATACACCTATATGCGCATGCCTATGTATGTAAAAATGTAATATAGTGCAAGGTAATGTAATTACGTGTAATTCAATCTAATCAAACGTAAAGAAATGTCTGTTTGTACGTACGTACGTAGGTAGGTATGTATGTATGTCACACACATTTGTGTCTGCACACATATATATATATACATATATATATATACACATAGATATGCAAAAACCTAAATGAACGTCACCCCGCCTTGCAAGCAAAGAGAGCTCGTCTACGAAACTGACCCCTGTTTCCGCCTAGAGTCTAAACCCTAAAGGCCCTAAACCTTAGACCGTAAAACGCTACACCCCAAGCTTTGAGGCTTTCGGGATTTCGGGCTTTTGGGAAGGACCTGCGACTGACCGAGCATTCGAAGGAGCTCGCAGCAATCCTGCCTGCTGGATGCGGTTAGGGGTTAGGGGGTTCGAAGGACTTTCAGTGTTCGGCCTGTTAGGCTGTGGGCTTCGCGGGTTCTATAGTGTACAGGTGCTTAGGATTTCCCCCTCAGGGTCTTGGTTCAGGAATGTAGGGCTGCAGGGCTTCAGGGTTTAGGGTTGCGGGTTGGGTTCCGGTGATTCCTAAACCCTAAACCATAAACCCTAGACCCTAAACCCTGAACCCTAAACCCTAAACCCTGGACCCTTGAGCCTGAACCCTAGCCAACCCCTGATTCCCCGAAGCCCGAGTCTGCAAGTTTTTGCATTCATTCAGAGTTGTCGCATCGAAACCGTAGCATACCAGCAGTTGCCAGTTTTAGGGGTCTAGGGTTTTAGGGTTATGTGTTTAGGGGTTTACGGTTTAGGGTTTAGGGTTTGCGGTAAACCCCAAATAGCCGTAGACAGACTCTACAGGGCCGGTGCTTGGAGCGTCGGGGGGTCTTTGTAAGTAGGTAACAAGTAGAGTTAAAATACACTAAAAGGGGCCTCATTGGGATGATATAATTATGATACCTATAACTCTAAGTAGGTCATAAAGTAGAGTTACAAGTAGCCTAGGAGGGGCCCCAATCGGGGTCATGATGCCGATAGCTCTAGAAACCAAGCACTTACTAAGTCCCCCGACCCTCTAAGTAGAGTTCTAGTACTGCGGGTTCGAAGGCATTTCGGTTCAGATTTGCACTACGGTTCAGGTTTCAGGGTTTGGAGTTCAGGTACCGTTTGCAAGCTATTATAGGATCCTTAAGGGGGGGTGGTTCAAGGGGGGAGGGTACTAGGGAGCTTTGGGGAACCTTAGGGAAGCTTAGGGAGTATTGGGGAATAATGGGGATTACTAGGTTACCTACCCCCCTTGGACCACCCCCCCTTAAGGACATCCTAAAGCTAGGAGCCTTAGTGGCTATATCCCTGAAGCCCTAAGCCCTGAAACCCTAAACCCCTAAAGGCCTAAACCCTAAGCCCGAAAGCCTATACCCTTATAGATCCCTTAAAGGAACCCTTATATTACCCTTTAAAGGAACCCCAAAACCCCGGAAATCCTAAGCCCCTAAACCCTAAACCCGAAAACCGCCATAGTCCCCGACGCTTTCCGAGGTTGCGTGATCGTCCCGGCTCTACCCTTGCAGGCACGGGCCCGAGCCCGAAGCGGACCCTTAATGGGGACCCCTACCCTACAATGGGCTATATGAAGGGTATATACTTAGGGGTCCTTATTAGGGGTCCCTCCTCTTTTTCCCTTGGATTTAAGGTATACTTGGGGGTACTTTCAAAGAGTTCTGAATTTTGGGGTTACTATTACAGTCCCTAAGAAATCTCACGGCTTACTAGGTATGGGAGTGACATAGTAGTAAAGAACCTTTGTGGAGTGCCATAATCGGTATATCGTCTCGATATATTTCCAAAGGTTACCTGTAGTTCCCCAGGATAATAGACAAGCAGGTTCAAGAGTTTTAGGTTTGAGGAGTGCAGTGCATGCTTTAGGGTCGATAGGGTTGTAGGGTGTAGGGGCGTTCATTGTTCGGGCTTCGCCAAAGACCGGGTGAGGCCTCACAATCCCTAAACTAGGATGCCCAGTAGTACCCTTATTCCCTTTTTGTAGTCCTAGGTTCCTTATAAAGTTACCCAATACCAAAAAGAGAGGCCTTTTTATTCTTAGGTTACTGGGTATCCTAGTAAACCCAAAGCCCTACCCCTAGCAGGTCCTGTCACGGGGCTGCAGTTCTCATCACTGGGGCTCGTGAAGGTCCCCTAAACCCTAAACCCAGAACCCAGGAACCCTAAAACCCTAAACCCTAAACCCTAAACCCTAAAACCCTAAACCCTAAACCCTAAAACCCTAAAACCCTAAACCCTAAACCCTAAAACCCTAAACCCTAAAATCCTAAACCCTAAAACCCTAAACCCCTAACCCCTAGCCCTAAACCCGAAACCCTAACCCCAGGAACCCTAAACCCAGGAACCCTAAGCCCGGGAACCCCTAAAGCCCGAGCCGCAAGTTCTCCTGAGCCGTGAATTACGACGCGGAAGCTTCGGGTTTCGGGCTGAAAGTTTAAGGCTTAGGCCTTAGGCTATGGGGTTTATAGGGCTTTAAGTTTAAAGTGTAGGGCCTAGAACAGTGGGATATAAGGAGCACAAACCCTGCCTTTTCGAAGTTTCAACTGGGTGACTTCTATTGTATCTTGCGCCCACACGAATCGCTGCTGGTACCTGTGCCAGTCGAAGTCTCAAATTCGCCATGCAGGGGATGAGTGATTAGAAACCACGATATCCCTGGCCTCTTGACAACAATCTTAAATCGGACCACCCTAAACCCCCAAACCATCCTTGTGGATCCCCAGTTCCATTTCCTTTGCAGAAGCTGCAATGTGCACGGCCCCATCATGTGCATTGCTCCTGAACATCACCCTTGGTCCGCTTACGCGAGGCAGGTAAAAAGCCAGCCGGCCCCCCGAAGGCAGGCGGTCCAGTCGACCCAAAGGCAGGCGGTGGCAGGATCGCCAGTCAGATTTGCTTATTCGCCACGGAAAAGCGCGGGAATGGAGGGGACAAGTTCAGCAGGCAGATTTCGAAGAAGACAGGTGTTATCACACGGGGAGATGGCCAACAAATTGCAGCATTTTTGCTCCAGAGACTCCAATATCCCTGAATTCAGGAATATACCTTAAATAAAAAAAGGGTCCCTTATATGGTTTAAGGAATATTCCTTAATTAAGGGATATTGGAGTCTCTGGGGCTCCTGCCCACCGCCTTCTTATTCCATCCTCATTGGACCGCCTGGTTGACGCGTGCGACCGAGGTGCTCAGTAGTGATCTCCCCGACTCTAGCAGCCTTAACACGGATGTTTGGGAAACTATTGAACCTCAATTAACACGCAAACCCAACACCCTAATTAAGCCTTAAAGCCCGAGCGCCCGAAAGCCCTAAGCCCTAAAGCCCTGAACCCTAAACCCTCAACCCTTCAACTCTCCTGAACCCTGAACCCTAAACCCTTCAACCCTAGACACTAGACCCTTAACCCTAAACCCCTTCAAACTTATACCCTCAACCCTTTAACCCTTCAACCCCAAACCCCACCGGACGTGCGGAGAGACTCCAATATCCCTTAATTAAGGAAACTTCCTTAAACCATACAAGGGATCCTACTATAATGTAATGTATATTCCTTAATTAAGGGATATTGGAGTCTCTGGGTGTGGAGAATCGAGGCGTCCGCTTTGCCGACTTCGTGGCTACGAACGAGGAAGCCTCCCGAGCCGCCCGGGCTCAACAAAAGCAGGGTTTGGGGCTTATCAGGGACCCAAAAAGCACAAAAGCATCAGCATTTTATGGGGATATCCTACCGTATTGGGCTTCATTATAAGGGGGGTTTATATGGGATATCCCTATCCTAATTTTTGCTTATGTGCTTTTTTGGGGCCCTAGTTTAGGGGCTTCAGGTTTAGGGACTTCGGGTTTAGGGTCTCGGGGTTTGGGGGTCTAGGGGTTTAGGGGCTTCGGGTTTAGGGGCTTGGGGTTTAGGGCTTAGGGGCTTCTGGTTTAGGGTCTTGGAGTTTAGGGTTCAGCGCCTTAGGGTTTAGGGGTCTTGGGGTTTAGTGTTTAGGGGTTTAGGGGTTTAGGGGCTTTGGGTTTAGGGTCTTGGGGTTTAGGGTTTAGGGGCTTTGGGTTTAGGATCTTGGGGTTTAGGGTTTAGGGGCTTTGGGTTTAGGGTCTTGGGGTTTAGGGTTTAGGGCCTTAGGGTTTAGGGTCTTGGGGTTTAGGGTTTAGGGCCTTAGCGTTTAGGAGTTTAGGGGTTTAGTGTTTGGGGGTTTAGGGGTTTAGGGGCTCCGGGTTTAGGGGTTTTGGGTTTAGGGGTTTAGGGTTCAGGGTTTAGGAGCATCTTTCTGTTTTCGCGGGCTTTTGGTAGGGTTGTTCATTCTTGTTACTTTTGCTACAGGCTCTGCAGGGCCAGTACATGCAGGGTTGGGAGACTAATTCAGTAAGTAGTTACCAGAGTTATAAGTACCCTAGATAGGATACTTACACCTCTATAACCTAACTACTTACTACTATGTCCCCCGAGCCTCCAAGCAAGCCCTAAACCCTAAAAATTCCGACCCTAAACCCTGAACCTTTACGTAATCCCTAAACTCAACAAAAATTCAACCCTAAGCCCTAAACCTATAAGCCCCAAACTCAAAGAAATCAACCCTAAGCCCTAAACCTCTAAGCCCTAAACTCAAAAAAATGTCAGCCCCAAGCCCTAAACCTTTAAGCCCTAAACTCAAAAAAAATGTCAACACTCAGCCCTAAACCTTTAAGCCCTAAAGTCCAAAGCCCCGAAGCATGACTTGGCCCCGGGCGTGGTTTTAGTGTATAGGAGGGTTAGTGCCGTTTAGGGTTTAGGGCTGTTCATTTGAGGGTTTACGGATCTTCAAGGTTTAGGGGTTAGGGTTTAGAGAGTAGGGTTGAGGGTTTCGGTCTTAGGGTATGGCTTAGGTGTAAGTTAGTTGTAGAAGTTAACGCCTCTGACTTCGAATTTAGGTTGAAGTTGAGGTAGGTTTTGAGATTCAGGCTTTGGGCTCTGGCTTCATGTATCTATGCTTGAAGCACTGTGCTCGAGTTGCGATTCAGGTAATCGAGTTCCTCACTGCGGAAGATATTTTCAACGGGAAACAAGAGGCGCGCACACCTCTAAACCGTAAGCTCCTGACTAGTTTCAAGCTCCTGGGTTTGGGACTACATAAGTTGTAGCATGGTTCAGTTAGGACTTTTGGGAGGGTTTAGGGTTTAGGGTTGAGTATAGTGTTCAACTGTCGATGTACCGAGTTTGATACAGGTCTCATGGCTCTTCAGCATCTGAGACGCCGCAGCTCTCGTCAGGTAGTGGCCTTGACAGTTAGACGAGCGGTCTTGGAGTATACTGTAATCTTTATATCTCCTTGGCGTTCTTGGGAATCATGTATTTTTCCACTGTAATAACACACCTCAAGCTATTCGTTTAATCTCTGGCTCTAAGGGCGCGTAAGTAGTACTACGATTGCATTACATGCTATGGGGACTACAAGTGGTCCTCCAGACATTAGAACCCGACATCCTGAACCATAGCTGACAGCCCCTAGGTTCCGAACCTTGAGTCTTAAGGTTTCCATAGCAGTAGGTGGCTGGCCACGGGTAAACCCAAAACGTCACAGAATCTGGTGGCAAAAGCGGGACCCCGATTCCTAAAATCTAAGTCCGAAACCCCTGGGATGAAACCAAACCTGAACCATGCTGGGACAGCTGCATGTCGCAGGGCTTTTCTGCCCATGCCTGCCACACGCGCCTGGCGGACAGCTGCCACAGCTGCTCGGGCGCAGAGTTGGTTTGTTTGTTGCTCTTGAACTTCGGGTGATGTAACTCAAAGGTGGTTCTGTAAATTAGATTTTTTTGTGAGCTTACAAACGAATTCCTGGCGCTTCCAAGAGGGACGCGAAAAAGGAGACTTCTTGTGACACTGAAGCTCATTTCCTCTGGAGAAGTTTTAGCATGGTAGGTTTTTATACTTGGCTCTGATTCAACAGTTTCACATTTTTCGACGGCCTGGTTATGGGACCAACCCTAAACCCAAAACCCCAAGCCTGAACGCTCAAACCCCGAACTCCTCAGAGTTGGTGTTCCCCACCGGTCCCAAACTTGAGCTGGATCTTGGGGACTGATCTACTCAGGGGTACTTAGAAATGTTTTTTTAATTTTGGGTTATTATAATCCCTAAGAAACAGCTAAAAGACTAATTTTTGCTAGGGTTCTAAGTTCAGTATAGTCTAGGCCAGGACCCCCCAAGTACCCTTTACTAGAGCCCTTATGGCCCTGAAGAGTGGGTATTTAGGTTATAATAGAGGGTAGTTGGGGGCTCCAGGGGGTTAGGGTTTCGGCTTAGGGGTTTGGGTTTCGGGTTGAGGATTTAGTGTTGAGGGTCGGAATGGCGAGTAATGGTGTTATGATGTCGGTCCCTATTCTAACTATTCAGGCTTCTACAACCATTAAGCCGACCGCTTGATGCAACGCCAGGCAAGTTCCGGACGGAAATCTTCCAAGTGAAATATCGCAAGCAAGATGGCCAGCACCGCGTCTCAAGAATGGTGTGTGTTTTCGGGTTTGGGGTGTGTTCTTGTTGGGGGGGGGGGGGGGGGGGGGGGGGGGGGGGGGGGGGGGGGGGGGGGGGGGGGGGGGAGTGGGCTACTTGGACCAGGGAGCTTAGGAAGTAGGTTCGGAATATTTGTGCGGATCAGGACCCAAACTCAAGTTCGTGAGTCTGTTTTTGAACAGAGACGACGCCCTGCCGTGACAATTTTCAGCCGGCGGGCGAGAATCTGTGGATTCGGACTTTGTCTCAGAACATGGCAAAGCACAGCTTGAACGCTTAACCCTGAACCTAAACGCTAAACGCTCAACTCAAACCTGTAGTTTTAGGGTTTACTTAACCCTAAACCCTAAACTTTTAAGTGGTTGGGATTCCGACACGTACTCATAATGACGATGTTCGCGGTGGCAACTTCGTGGCCTCGATCAGTATTTATGAATACTAGGACCCGGAGTGGGCCCTTAGTCCCTTTTTATGCTTTAGGTTCCCTTATAACTACCTTTAAACCAAAAAGGGCATCCTTTTTAGTCCTAGGTTACTCTTAGGCCCTAAACCCTAAACCCTAAACCCTAAACGGCTAGAATAGGCACCCCTCGGCCCTTGAACTCTAAGGCCTCACCCTGAATCCTAAACCCTGAAGATCCGAATCCTTAAAGGGAACTCCAGAAAGTTGAAATATGGTTTCAGGGTAGGATACCCTATAATTTGCCATCAAGGGTTTAGGATAATGATATTCCAACTTTCTGGCTTTTACTTTAAACCTTGATGATCCGAAGCCTTAAACCCTAAACCCCCAAACCCCTAAACCCTAGAAGCCCTAAACCCTAATCCCCTGACCCCTAAACCCCGAAACCTATATACCCTAGAGCCCCAAGATTTGCCCTACATCCCCATAGCCTTCAAATCTCGAAGGACTGGTTTCAGAGGTGTGGATGGCATTTTTGGAGGGTCGACGGACTTAGTAAGTAGGGAGGAAGTAGAGTTTTAAGTCCCCTGAAAGGGATCCCAGTTGGGTTCGTGATACTTGTAACTAAAGGCCCTCCGCTTGGTGTTTCTGTAATTTTGCTTCAGGATTTATATGCGCATGTGTTTAGCGCTTAGGGCTTACGGGACTAGGGATTCGGGTTTTGTGAGTTCCACGGCGATTATTGGACCCTAAACCCTAAACCCACTTCTTCTATACCGACCGCACCAGGTCGCAGCGTTGCAAGGGCCTCTAAAACCGAATCTTGAAACGAATACCCGGTGTAAGGGCCCTAAGCCCTCAATTTTTATGGGGCTGTGTTCAGGGTTTAGGGTTTAGGGTTTAGGATTTGAGTTTAAAACTCTGACATCTGAACTTGTTTGTTTTGAGGCTGGGGTTTTGAGGGTTTGTGACTTTAGACTCGACGCAGGCGAGTTTTTACAGTATGACTTTAGGCAGGAAAATTATAGTGTAGAAACTTATAAACCCCCAACCCTAAGCCCTATGTGCCCTAAGCCCTACACCCGACACCCTAAACCCTTAAGCCCTAAATCCTAAACCATGAACCCTAAACCCTACACCTAAAACCCTAAACCCTAAGCCCCAAGCTTCATAAATCTTGTAAACCCTAAAACCTAAACCCCTTATAGACACCCCTTACAGGAACCCTTGTAGATCCCTTAAAGGAACCCTTAAAGACCCCGAAACCCTAAACTTTACTAAACCCTAAAGCCTAAACCCTGAACTCTAAAACCCTAAGCCCTACTACATACTACTAAATCCTAAGCCCTGAACTCTAAACCCTAAACCCTACTAAATACTACTAAACCCTAAGCCCAGAGACTCCAATATCCCCTAATGAATGGATATACCTTAAATTATAGTAGGATCCCTTATATGATTCAAGGAATATTCCTTAATTAGGGGATATTGGAGTCCCTGGAGCCCTAAACCCTACTAAACCCTAAACCCCTAAACCCTAAGCCCTATAAACCCTACTAAATACTACTAAAACCCTAGGCCCCAAGCTCCGTGGCGCCAAGGCTCAGCCATCTTCTCGGTCTTCGAGACTTCACGGATCAAGATGCCTTGACAGGACCCGCAGGGATGTGTCCGATGCTTTTGGGTTTAGGAGCTTAGGGTTTAGGGGTTTGGGGCTTAGGGTTTAGGGGCTTTAGGGGTTTAGGGCTTAGGGGGCTTAGGGGGCTTAGGGTTTAGGGGTTTAGGGTTTAGGGTTTTGGATCACTACTCCCAGATAATGCCTTACCGGGGGGGGTGTAGGGGGGCTAGGTTAAGGCAATAACGGGCCTGGCAGCTCGAGTTAATGCCTTACCGACCCCTCGCAAACCTTAGGGTATCCGGTGTATCTTCGAGTTAAGCAGGTATACATTGGTGGGTCTCAGTTGATAGAGGCGAGAGACATAGAGTTTGCAATTGTGTGCACTTGTCTTCTGAAGGCATTTTGCCTTTGAAACATATCATATTTCGATGAACTAGATACCATCTGTCTCTACCGACTGTCTCGCGAAACCACAGCCAAGGCAACAGTCCGACTGTGAAATGACTGAGGGATTATTCAGATCAGCGGTCCCTCGTGTGAATCACTTGAATCACTTGAACAGAAGCAGAAACATTGATCATTCGTGAGCGTCTGTGCTGGGGCATGGACGGTGAGTGGCGCCTGGTAACGACCGGCCACCGCAAGAGCGGCGCACAAATCGGGGCTCCCATTCGCCGCTCGATTCATCTGGACTCTTGATTTTGTTTCCAATGCAGGAGATCGGCACCGAAGAGGGTGCTGTTGCAGAGCTAACCCCGGACATGAAGATTGTCCAAGTTTCCTGGCATGCACCGGATGGCGCGGACTTCCGGTCCCATCGCCTAGCTATGCAGCACAGCCTCAAGCACAAGTTGAAGGCTGGGCAAGGTAGATTGCAGGGCCGAGCCTTAGTGTCATCCTCCGTCATCATTGCATGTCTCCACAGGTTCCCCCGAAGGCTGCGGATCTGTACAAGTACAAACGGAACGGCGATCTAAAGGTGCTCCTCTCTTCACAAGTTTCCGTTGCGTTGTCTTTGAAAATCGGCACGTGGCAGGACAACCGATGCTTTGGGGTTTAGGAGTTTAGGGCCTAGGGTTTTAGGATTTAGGGTTTAGGGTTTTGGCGTTTAGGGTTTTGGAGTTTAGGGTTTAGGGTTCAGGGTTTGGGGCTTAGGGTTCCTTTAAGGGGTACTATAAGTGGTTCTTTTAAGGGATCTAGAGGGGTTTAGGGTTTACAAGCTTAGGATGCTTAGGCGGGGCCGCAGTAAGAGGATCAGGGGCTTTGGGGGTTTGGGGTTCAGGGTTGATCGTTTGCGGCTTTGGCGAGGTTTAGGGCTTTTCCGGTTTAGGGTTAGCTTTAGGGTTAGGTTTAGGGTTTAGGGTTTAGGGTTAGGTTCAGGGTTTATTTCAGAGGATCATGAGACTTAGTAAGGAGGGTTTAGGTAATTACCTTAACTCAGGTTAGAAGTGGATATAACTATAGTTACCGTACTTATAACCCTACTTACTAAGTCCCAGGATCCTCTAAGCAGGATGTGTCCGAAGCTTTTGGGCCTTCGGTGTTCAGGGAATTTAGGGTTTTCAAGGGTTTATATTTTTTTTGCAGATGTGCGTAGGTTAGGGTGTGTAGGGTTTTTCTCCAAGGGTAAGAGGAGGGACCCTTAATAAGGACCCCTAGGTATATACCCTTAATATCGCTATTCTATACCCACTATATAGCCCATTATAGGGTAGGGGTCCCCATTAAGGGTCCCTCCTTTTCCCCTTTGATTTTCGGGTATTTAGGGTTTAGGGTTTTCAGGGCTTTTGCAGTTTAGGGCTTCGGGTTTAGGGTTTGGTTTGGGGTTAGTTTGGGTTTCGGGTTGCGGGTTTGGGATTTGGGGTTTAGGGTTCAGGGTTTAGGTCTCATAGGGCTTTTAAGGTCTAGGGTTTGGATTCTTTAGGTTTCGGGTGTTAGGGTTTAGGCGAGGTTTAGGCTTGGGCAGAAAGTTCACTTGCACGATATTGTTTACGACTTTTTGCGCGAAGCCCCAAACCCTGAACCGCTAGTGCCGCTAGTGAATAGAATCATTCATGCAATATTCCTGGTTGATGGCTGTTGACCACCCTGGGTTTATGTGACATCCCTTTGCAAGCATAATAAAGTCCACAGCGAGAAGCCCCCAAAACCCATCTACCTTTGCACTACCCGAAGCTTCGGATTGACAAGCCTACCTAAACCTTAAACCCTGAGCTGGCAATCAGGAAATACTTGCTAGGTTGGTGAGCGGTAGCCTTGTCTTTTCCGTTTTGCTCCTGGCGTCCCAGGATGACACCACTGCCCCCAACAAGTTTTTCGGGGTGGGTTTCGAAGCAAAGAAGCAACCAACCAGCCAAGAAATAGAACACGTATGAAACACAAATGAATTCACCCCAAACCCGAAACCTTAAACCATAACCCCAAAGCACCTAAACGTTAAGCTACCTTTGGAAGGACAGAAGGCCCCCACCGCTGATGTCGATCAAGAGGACAACTTCGCAAAGATCAGGCAGCTCGAGACGAAGTTTCTGACCAGGGGCCCAAACAATCGGATAATCGCCTGGTGGTAAAGGCTTTAGGCTAAACACAGGGTCTCCTTCCAACCGGATGTTGGAAACCTTTGTTGTGAACCCTTGTTCTTGTGTGTCGCTCTGAAACTAGGACCCAGAGTGGGCCCTTAGTCCCTTTTTATGCTTTAGGTTCCCTTATAACTACCTTTAAACCGAAAGGACATCCTTTTTAGTCCTAGGTTACTCTTAGGGCTAGGAAAGTGTCCCGAACCAAGCCCGCTAAAGTTCTGGTTCCTTGAGCTTGCGATCTCTTGGTTGTTGCTTTTCGGTCGGGATTCGTACTATTAGTATTACTGTTACTATTACGACTACTATTATTATTGCTATTACTACTACTGTTACTGTTGCTATGAAACTATTACTATTACTCATTTTGGCGATGGTGGTCTCCGGGGCTTAAGATAGTGTCGCTGGTTTTTGCAATCCGCCAGTCCTGAGCCCTAAACCCTGAACCCTAAACCCTTAACCCTAAAACCCAAAACCCAAACCCTAAACCATAGACCCTACTGTGTGGATCAGAGGACTTAGTAAGTGGGTGATAAGTAAGGTAACTATAGTTATATCTACTTATAATCTTAGCTAGGGTACTTATAGCCTACTTACTAAGTCCCATGATCCTCCAAGTTGAGGACAACCTTGCTAGTTTGGAGACGGCTTAGGGTTAGCGCTAGGAGCTTCAACACGTACAGCCTTTCGCTTAGATTTCTCGGTGTAAGACAAAACCGACCTTGAACGCTTAGGTCGGATCGCGCCGACCTAACTTAGAATCAAAGGGCAAAAGGAGGGACCCTTAATGGGGACCCCTACCCTATAATGGGCTATATAATGGGTATATAATGGGCTATATTATGGGTATATACCTAGGGGTCCTTATTAGGGGTCCCTCCTTTTACCCTTTGATAGAAACACCAAGCATGAAGCCCACTTCGAAGAACCTCCGAGGCGGCATGAGGCGGCACTGAGCTGGGAACACCAAAAAGCACAGAAGCATAAGCATTTTATGGGGATATCCTTACCTTATCGGGCTTCATCATAAGGGGTTTATATGGGATATCACTTTGCTGATTTTTGCTTCTGTGCTTTTTTTGGGGCCCTACTGATAAAACAACCACAGCCCTTACCATTTCGGCATGAGATCGGATGTCGGAATGTGAGGATGAATCTATGGGACCTGCGGCGTGGAGTTTGAGCAGTATAGCTGAATGTTGTAGCCGAGCGCTTGAACTCTAAACCATCAAACCTTAAATCAAGCCTAAACTCTAAACCCTGAACAGTAGATCAACCATGGTTTCAGAAAAACAATCATCCAACCCTACAAAACCCTAAAACCAAATAAGTACCGAGCTGTAAAGTTTGAGGTCCTGGCATTTCCAGAAGAGGGGCCTTCAGGATCAGCGTTCAGGCGGTTTAGGGCTTAGGGTTCAGGGTTTAGGGTTCAGAGTCTTATGCTTTGTATCACGCACGGCTGCTTACGCTTTAAATCGTAAAGCAGTAAAGCCTGCACTTCCAAGCCTTTGCCCCTGTAGAACCGTGCCCCGGGGAGTCCCGAAAGAAACCCCTTGAATCCTACAAGCAACCCTTGAATACTGAAAGGAACCGAGCCCTGAAAAGAACCCGCTTCATAAGCCTCCAAATTACTCAAAGAATCCCTAAACCCTAAAACCCTAAACCCCTAAACCCCTAAACCCTAAGCCCTAAGCCCGAAACCCTAAACCCTAAACCTCTAAACCCCTAAACCCTAAACCCGACGAGACTTCGTGCAGGAGTCGCAGGCGCAGTCAGAGCCAACCAGCGACCGGCGGCGGGGTGATCTTCTTAGAATTGGACCTCGAACGAGCCTCCGACGATGATAGCATGCGTTCCGGTCCTGGCGAAGCTTCAGGGTTCAGGGTTTTAGGGTTTAGGACTGTTGTGAAAGTTATAAAACCCTAAACCGTTAAGCCTTATTACCCCACAAGCAAAAAGGCTTGCTTTCATCTCTTCGGGGGCTCAGAGTTTTGCAAGGTTTGGGGCTTGAGATTTGGAAATAGGGTTGAAGGTTTACGAATTAACGCCCAATTCGACCTCTGTTGATCTCCTTGGTGAATGCCGCTCACAGGGGGGTTGTCCCACCCACCCACGTTGCAAACGCAAAGGCCGCACTCGAGACTTAACGACGCAACAGCTGTCGACACAACGCAAGCACTCATCCGAGCAGGAGGGCAGACCTCGAATGTGGCCTCAGGCGTGATTGCCAATTTAGCGACGGACGGCAGTCTCAGCTGACTCGAAGAGCGACCTCCCGACGCTGTTCAAGCTGGCGGCCGCCGCAGGAGCAGTGCCGGGCACGGGCGTGTCCAGGGGTACAGCGCCCACCACCGCAGAATTGGCACTTAAAGGATCAGGGGATTTAGTAAGTAAGGTTATAAGTAAGGTAACTATAGTTATATGTAATTATAACCTTATTAAAGTACGGTAAATATAGTTATATCTACTTATAACCTTAATTAAGGTACTCATAACCCTACTTACTAAGTCCCATGATCCTCCAAGCAGCCCTGCCATCGACAACTCCCGCGGCGCTCGCTGGCCTCGATTACAGTGCCCTCCCGGATTTGAGGTTCGACAATGCCCAAGTCTGTCATAGGAGGCCAAAAGGGGTTTTAGTCTATGGGGGTTTACTAGGGATTAGGGTTCCCATAATAGGGTTCACATTGAGGACTCCCTACCCCAAGAATCTTAAGCCCCCCTTTCAGTCAGAAACCCGACAGATGTAGTCCCTTCCCCAAATAGATCAAACGGCCCCCATAGTATAATCGAAATACGTTTTCTTCATTAGGTGGGTGTTGTTTTTCTTTGTCTCTACTTTCGCATTTGGGAGGATCTTGCTCCTGCTCTGGCTCTTGCTCTTGCTCTTGCTCTCGCTCTCGCTCTTGCTCTTGCTCCTGCTGCGGCTCTGGCTCTTGCTCCTGCTCCTGCAGTTGCCTTTGCTCTTGCTTCCACTCTTGCTCCTGCTCTTGCTTTTGCTCCTTCTTCTGCTCCTGTTCTTACATCTAAACAGGTTCAAGCGGAGATGATTTAAGGATGAATAAAATCATCCCCGGAAAAAGTTTATCAGGGGGGTGCTTAACAAACGTGTGAAGAGATTCCCTCAACCCTACAGTCCTAAATCCTTAGCCTTACAGTAAAAGCCAGAAAGTTGGAATATGATTATCCTAAACCCTTTAAGGCAAATTATAGGGTATCCTACCCTGAAACCATATTCCAACTTTCTGGAGTTCCCTTTAGCCTTAAGCCGTATATCAGACCATGGAACGCCCGTAGACCACGTGTAAAGCCCTTGAAGGCATCCTGAAGTGAGCTCTCAAAGGAACCCTAAACCCTGAACCCTAAACCCCCCTAAACCCTAAACCCCCCTAAACCCTAAACCCTAAACCCCCCTAAACCCTAAACCCTAAAACAGGAACACTCATGCCTTGAAAGAACCCTTCGAGTTCCCAAAAAGCAAGCCTTATCAATCCTTCTAAGAAGCCTTTAACTTAGATCCCCAATACCCAACCTTTACACTTTTTGGGTTCATAGAGTTTAGTAGGTATCGGAAAGTTTAACCTTTTATTTCTGTGGATTATGGGGGCAGTGAGAAAAAGTAAGCCTTATCAATCCTTTTAAGAAGCCTTCAAGAGTAGGGACCCTGAAAGAGCCCTTACATTTACGGAAGTGTGGAGGCAGGGAGCCCCTAAACCCTAATTCCTAAACCCGAGCCCGCAAAAGACCTTGGATTCAAGCACTCCGCCTCAGGGTTTAGGGTTTTTTTTTGTGGTTTTGGGGCTTAGGGTTTAGGGTTTTTTGGTGGTTTTGGGGTAGCTTATTTATGGGTCCTGAAAATAAGCATCCTACGATTAAGGGTACCGGTCCCCTATTTTCGGAAACTCCCATATAGGGGATTGCGTTTGTTGCTTTTGGGCTCAGATTGTAATAGGAGTTGACTATGTCTTAAAACCTTCTCATACTAACACACTATCAGTTGCAAAATCAAGCAAAGTCCTAAGCCCTAAGCTAAACCAAAACACGATCAAACTGCAAAATCCTGCACTTTCCGAAGCCTTAAGCTCACCTGCCAGAGCCATGTCAGGATAGGTTGTTGATGCCCTAAACCCTAAACCCCTAAACCCTACACCCTAAACCCTAAACCCCTAAACCCTAAACCCCTCCCCTAAGCCCGAGCCATGTCAGGACAGGTTGTTGATGCAGCATCCATTCTGGCTTCCGGCTTGGAGACTGGGCTCAAGGTATAGGGTTGGAACGTGCAGGGTTTGGGGTTTAGGGTTTAGGTCTAGGAAAATGATCACCGAAACTGGAGGGTAACCCAGACAAGTAACACACAGTAGATTCTGTGAGCCTAAGCCCTAAACTAGTGTAAGTAGTTACTTACGTCATCAGCGGTTTTACTGGTGCTGCTCTTCAGCATGGTCTTATGAAGCTTCTGTTTTCTTCATCGAATCTGGCAAAGGTCTCCTCGTTGCTAAACACTTCACGTACATTCCATGGTATGATTAAATGCCCCACCAATGTTAAACACAGTTTCGACGTTTGGCTCGAAAGTAACCAGAAGAATAGTGTGTCTCGTAGCAGCCATGGCAGTGGAACTAATCGCTTCCCCCTGTTGAATATTGAATGCCCTGGTTGTCATCCTACTGCAGCAAATTTTGGGTTATTGTCATTCTTATTGTGGTCGCATGGATGCAAGTCATCGTGACCCTGTCCGTCCGTCTGTCACTTCTCGCACGGGTGAAGCATTGCTACTATGTCAACTAAACGTACTGTTTGTTAGCATGTTTCAATTGTTGCCCTGCTGCGTGCCAGTATGCCTTCGTGCTGATCGCCTAATATAGGGGCCTTAATAATTGCGAATACTATGTTGGGGGTTCCTTATTACAATTATAGTATGATGAGCCCCAAAAGCATTAGCTAGGATGCCCAGTAGTACCCTTATTCCCTTTTTGTAGTCCTAGCTTCCTTATAAGGTTACCCAATACCAAAAAGAGAGGCCTTTTTTTCTTAGGTTACTGGGTATCCTAGCTCCAATATCCCCTAATTAAGGAATATTATCCTAAACCCTTTATGGTAAGTTATAGGCTATCCTAGATTAGTAATTCAAACTATTCAGGCCCCCGCTAATCACTAGGCCTGAGCCTCAGGTCCGAAACACGCACCTGAACTAACATCATAGGGACCCTTAAGGGGGGGGGGGCATGGCCCATTTAAGGAAGTATCGTCCCCGACGCCCCCCCCTCCCCTACCCCGCTCAAGGGTCGCTATGATAACATCCAGGAACACCTCAAAATTCGAGGATATGGGTGGTTGTCAAAATTATGGTCCCTTTTGGTTCCCTGACATAATACGGCACCTTATATTTAGGGTACCCAAAAGGGACCCTGATATTGACAACCACCCATAAAGCTCTTCAAGCGTGGATTAATTTTTTTCAAGATCTCCGCACCTCGAGTTCCTCATCCCTTGAACTTGAAACCCGGTTACTTTGAGGATCAGGGGATTTAGTAAGTGGGGTTATAAGTAAAGTAAATGTAGTTATATCTACTCATAATCCTAATTCAGGTGCTTACAACCCTACTTACTAAGTCTCATGATCCTCTAAGTACACTTTACACAAAACCATAGAGCTCCCAAAACTAAATTCCTAAACCCCGGAGCAAAACTCTAAAGCCCTGAACCCCCAGAACCCCTAAACTAAACTCCTAAAAATTCCCCTAACCCTTCCCGAAGACCGAAACGATTCAGGGCTTAGGGGCCTTGGGTTTTAAGGAGTATAGCTTAAATCATAGTATGTAGCCCTCTTATAATTTAAGCCATATGCCTTAATTGACGGGTATTGGGCTCGCTGGGTTTGGGGAGAGATGGGCCTGTACTGGGGTCAAAGGGTGGCGTAGATGGTCAATCCCTTTAGCCTGTTGTGGGAGTTTGCGAGAGTAGGGGACCCTAATATCGTACCCTAAATAGTAGGATCCTTATATTGCGGACCCCAAAACAAGGTACCCTTAATATTTGGAAACTCCCTTGTCCCGAACCGACCCTCAGCCAACCCGGTGTTCCGACTCCTAACCGGGCAGAAGAGAAAGGGGGTTCCAAAAAAAGCGACTGTAAGCCCTCAATCCCAGAAGCCCTCAAACCCTCAAATCCTTGACCCTGAACTGCCCCGAAATCCTTAATTACTCTAGGCCGAAACAATTACCTATAGGATTTTGGGGGCTCCTTATTATAATTGATGGGCCCGAAAACCTTATTCTAATTATCAAGGCCGCGTGACCCCTAAACCCTAAACCCCAAACCCTAAAACCTTAGACCCTAAACCCTAAAACCTTAAAAGCCCTTAATTAATCCGCTGAGGTCGGCATGAGTCTGCCCGAGCTTTTCCCGGGGGCTGGCTGGCAAGCGATCGAGTGGGATCCTGAGCTGTTTCTCCTTTAAGGTGTACTTAGAGGATCGTGGGACTTAGTAAGTAGGGTTATAAGCACCTTAATTCAGGTTATAAGTTGATAAAACCCTAAACCCTAAACCCTAAACCCTAAACCCGATATAACTACAGTTGCCTTAAGGTGTAGGGGTTTTGGGGGTTCTGGGGGTTGATGCTTGAGGGTTTATGGGTTGAGGTTTTAGGGGTTTAGGGTTTGAGGGTTTAGGGTTTCTCCTTTAAGGTGTACAGTAAACCCCATAAAGTTGGAAACCGGATTAAGGCCAAATAGTGCTGCGACTCCCTATACAATACTCTTAAGGATTGAGGCTGTGAGGTTTCCAACTTTTGGGCTTCTACTGTGGGGGTGTAGGGGTTTGGGGGTTGAGGGTCTAGGGTTTAGGGTTTCTCCTTCGGGGTCTTGGGGGTTTAGGAGTTTATTTTAGGGTGTTTTTTGGGGGGGTCAGTTCAAGGGTTTAGGGGCTAGGGGTTTAGGGGTTTTGGGGGTTTAGGGTTTGAGGGTTTAGGGTTTGGGGTTTCTCCTTTAGGGTCTAGAGGTTCGGGGCAGGAGGGTGCAGGCCTTCAGTATTTAGTAAGGGCTTAATCATATGGCCTCGAAAAGGCTTGATAAGGCTTCGAAAAGGGTTCAGCATGGCCTTCTTAAGGGTTTAACATGCTTCGGGTTTTCGGCTCAGTTTTCGAGGTTTTGGCCTTCATGTAAGGCCTGATCCCTCACCTTGTCAACCGTAGCACGTCTATCGTTTCCCCAGAGAGCCCAATACCCCTTAATGAAGAAATATAGCTTAAAACATTATATGGAGCCCAAAATAATTTAGGCCATATTCCTTAATTTAAAGTCTTTTCGCTCTCTGGGTCTGTGGCAGCTTAGGGCCCAGGGTTTGAGATTTTAGGCTCTTGCAGCTTTGGGCTCAGGGCTGGGCAGTTTGGTAATTTAGGGGTCTTAATAATTACCTATAGTACTTTGGGGGTTCCTTGTTACTTTTATTATTATTATTAATATTATTTTATGAATATATATATATATATATATATATATATTATATGTATGTATATGTCTATAAATGTATGTACAGTATAACTTGCCCCAAAACCCTATTCTAATTATCAAGGCCCCTGTATTACGCCTTTAGTAGGCCGGACTCAAAGTTTAGTGTTCAGGGATGAATGGGCTGTAGAGATCTAGGCGGAGATGGGACTCACCGAGGCGCCCCTCATAAAAATAGGGGCCCTTTAAGGGATCTATAGGGGTACTATAAGGGGTTCCTTAAAGGGATCTATAGGGGTACTATAAGGGTTTACGGTTTAGGCTCTACTTGGAGGATCTTGGGACTTAGTAAGCAGGCTTATAAATACCTCAACTAGGGTTATAAGTAAATATAAGTATAGTTACCTTACTTATATGCATGCCTACTTACTAGGTCCCCTGATCCTTCAAGTAGGGTTTGATACTTGGCTTTACGGGTAGAGGTTCGCAGGACTTAGTTTAGTAGCTATTTCAATGTTTATAGAGTTATAAGTGCACTTTCCGCAAATAAGATCCCTTAGAGGGCGTTGATACAGCTATCTATAGTGCCTACTTACTAAGTCCCCGGACCCGCTATGCAGGCCGTCTTGCTTTCTTTAGTGCTTCAGGATTTAGGGACAAGGCCAGTGGGTGCAGGGCACAGTTTGATTGGGAGTAAGATACACCCCGAACCCCAAAGGGTAAGCTTTTCTGGATGAGGGTCTTCTTCGTTCGGATTTTTACATTCCCAGAGACTCCAATACCCCTTAATTTAGCAATATGCCTTAACTTATAGTAGGATCCTTAATGTGATTTAAGGAATATTCCCTAATTAAGGGGTATTGAAGTCTCCGGGTTGGAAGGGATCAAGGCTTCGATGCTAGGTTTCAGTGGCTATCGACGTTTGGGTTTTCTTGGCAAGCCTTGCACCTTTCATCCCAAACCATCACAATCCCTAAACCCGAAGCCTTAAACCCTAAACCCTAAGGCCTAAACCCTAAACCCTAAGCCTTAAACCCTAGACCTTAAACCCTAAGCCCAAAGCCCGAACCCCCAACGCCGCTAGAGGTTGAGGCTTCTGGGGTCCGGCATGATGAACTATAGGGCCCCAACAAGTGCATAAGCAAAATCTAGGATAAGCATATCCCATACAAGGGTTTGGGGTTTAGGGAAGTGAAATACGGTAGGGACATCCCAGTAACATGCTTACCCAGAGAGCCCAATACCCCTTAATTAAGGAACATGGCTTAAACTATATATGGCTTCATACTATGATTTAAGCCATATTCCTGAGTTAAGGGGTATTGGGCTCTCTGGGTATGCTGCTGTGCTTTTAGGGTCCCTACGCTAGGAGCTTGGAGTCTTTATAAGGGCAAAAGGAGGGACCCTTAATAAGGACCCCTATGTATGTACCCTTAATATAGCGGGGACCATAATATTGACAACCACCCATATAACGCCCTCAATATAGCTCTTATATACCCATTATATAGCCCATTATAGGGTAGGGGTCCCCATGAAGGGTCCCCCCTTTTCCCTTTGATTAAACTGAACCCTAAACCCTAAACCCTATAGATCCCTTTAAAGGGACCCTTATAGATCCCTTTAAAGGAACCCTAAGAGCCTAAGGGTCCCTCCTTTTCCCCTTGGAGTCTTGAACTTTGCAGGGTTTAGGGTGCCGGGCTCGGGTTTTATAGACCCTAAGCTGCCCCAACGCCCGAAACCCTTATAGTACCTCTATAGGTCCCTTCAAGGGGCCCTTAACGGAACCCTACTTACTTAGAGGATCATGGGGCTTAGTGAGTAGGGTTATAAGAACCTTGAGTAAGGTTGTTATAAGTAGATATAACTATAGTTACGTTACTTATAACCCTACTTACTAAATCCCCTGATCCTCTAAGTAGGATAGTTTCGGCTTAGGCTTGACCCGAATCCAAAGTTCCCCTAAGCCCTATAAGCCCTAACATGTCCGGACCCGCCGCAGGACTTTCGCCGACGATGTAGTGAAAAAATGGATGGCGAAGGCGCGGTAGTGCTTAAGGTGGGAGGATTTGCCAGAGAATAGGGTTTAGGGCTTAGGGTTTAGGGTTTAGGGCTTAGGGTTAGGGTTTAGGGTTTAGGGTTTAGGGTGTGCAAGCACCGTGAGAATAGGAAAGCACTGCTAGGTGCTGCAGCCCTAATTCCTGGACCGACGCAAGCACCGTCACTCTTCAAATGTTCAGTTGATTCTTCGGCTCAATAGCAAAATCCAAGTTCCAAGCCATAATCCCTGAAGCCCTAATGCAAAACACCCCTCAGAGGCGAAAACAGGCCCTACAAAGCTCTATGTGCCTTAGATAGCTACCGTAAACCCTAAACCCTAAACCGCAAGCCCAAATCGGGCAGGGAGTCAGCAGTGCGAAAGTCCCACTGCACCTAAAAAACCTTAGACCCTAAACCCTAAACGCTAAGGGAAGCCGTAGTGATCCTCTAAGTGGATCCTAAACTCTTAAATAATCCCTTTAGATCCCTTGTAGATCCTTTATAGGTCCCTTTAAGGAACCCTATAGATCCCTTTTAGGAATCCTACTTACCACTTTACGAAGGCTGGAGCGCGCGGAGGCAAATCCCAGACCCTATCAGCCCCAAACTAAAAGACCGACTTTAAGGGATCTATAGGGCCCCTTAAAGGGGTCTATAGGTTTAGTGAGATTAAGGGTTCCTTTAAGGGATCTATAGGGCTCCTTAATGGGATCTATAGGGTTTAGGGTGTAGGGTCTACTCAGAGGATTGGGACTTCGTAAGTAGGATTCCTAAAAGGGATCTATAGGGTTCCTTAAAGGGACCTATAAAGGATCTACAAGGGATCTAAAGGGATTAATTAAGAGTTTAGGGTCCACTTAGAGGATCATGGGACTTAGCAAGTAGGGTTAAAGGTGTAGCTGTAGTGAGTTTTACTTATAACCTTAGTTTAGGTACTTATAACCCTGCTTACTAAGTCCCATGATCCTCTATGTACTAGCTCCTGCTCCAGGATATTGGCTCGATGGCGAGGAAGATTCACCGCTTTGAACGATACTTTGCTTGTTACAAGGGTTATAGATCTTCTCTGGCGCTTTATACGTAGGGTTTAGTGCAGTACAGGAATAAATCAGTCGTAATAAGGAGTACTATAAGGCTCCTGGGGTTGAAGTCATATGAAGTTTTTCGTTTCAATGTTTTGGGGTTGTAGAAGGCCGCACCATTGTAATCGTGGGGCTCCCTATTGCAAGCGGCAGCTATGGCAGATCAAATTATCCTAATCCAGGTCGGCTGTTCGTGCACCAAAGTGTGCCTTTCACGTTCACTGCTCCTTGATGACAAGATCTGCGGATGCGAACACTCATCGTACGCAACAGCATCACCTAAGTAGCGCAAGCCGATACGCCGATACACAACATGCAGCGCTTCTTGATCAAACCAGCAAGAGGCTTCATCACTAGGGTTTAGGGATTTAGGGTTTAGGGAGGTAGGGTCTATCTGTCAGGTCGAACAAGCCGTTGACAACACTCAAAGAACCCCACAGCTCGAGGATTAGCCAGAGATCCGCTAAGCATCGGCAGCACGTCTCCCAGAAAAGCCGGAACTCCCAGACCGCGCGAAACCAATACCCGAAACACCCCACCCAGAACCCCAAGCACACGGCCCGGAACGCCCGCAACCCGGAACGTCTCGAACATCTGCACCTCCTGCAACACGGACCCAGAACCCACAGAACTGGAACAGCCGGAACACTAGTCCTAAGCCCTCGGCGTCGACATAGGAGTTTCCGGGGGTACCTTATTTGGGGACAAGGATCCTTCTATATAAACAGGGTTTAGGGTTTAGGGTTTAGGGTCCCCTATTTTCGGAAACCACCACATAGGCGCGCGCTTGAGTTTCGTCGCAAAGACATCTGATGATGCGACCCACGCACTCCATGCCGCAGTTCTTGTTGAGGAGCTTAGTTTCAAAGGGGAAAAGGAGGGACCCTTGATGGGGACCCGTACCCTATAATGGGCTATATAATGGGTATATAATGGCTATATTATGGGTATATACCTAGGGGTCCTTATTAGGGGTCCCTCCTTTTACCCTTTGATAGTTTAAATTACCATAATACCCATAGGCCCCATAGTAGTTCCTTTTTGGGGTTCATATTTAAGATCCTATAAGGTACTCCCCAAAAGCAACTACTCTGGGGCCCATGGGTAGGGCTCTATAGTGGATAATATGGTTTCTTTATCAAGAATCTATCATTCCTAGCAACTTACATGAAGTTCCTTACATAACAACAACCCAGAAACACCAGACTGTCATTTACAACAACGAGACCCTAAACCCTAAACCCTAAACCCCAAAACCATAAACTCTAAACCGTGCAACAACGAGACCCTTAAACCATCCTGTCAAGTATCCACTTTGAATCCCCTGAGCCGAGCAACCGCAAAGCCCTGGACCCTAAACCCTCGAGCGAAGGATAGATACTATAGGGGCCTAAAAATAATTGCCAATACTATTTTGGGGGCTCCTTATCAGCATTATAGCCTAATGGGCCCCAAAACCATCCAAAACCCTATTCTAACTATTCAGGCCCCTATATTAACACCCTAAACCCTAAAACTCTAAACCGCTAAACCAGAGACCCTAAACCCTAAACCCATCTCCTTAGGACTCTTTATGAAGTTCCCAGCCTCGCAGAGTGAATCCATGGACGGCACCATCGAGGCCACAACGGCGGCTGGGGGTTCGGGGTTTAGGGTTTAGGATTTAGGGTTTAGGGTGTAGGGTTTGGGGTTTAGGGTGTAGGGTTTGGGGTTCAGGGTTTAGGGTACATAAGGTTTTCGGGTTTCTTGTTGGCTGTAAACTCAACTTTTTCAATTTTCAGGGTTCTTATAAGGTAGTCGATTCTGAGAGTTTCAACTTTCATTTCCTTGGGCTTTGGGCCAGTGAGGTTTAGGGTTTAGGGCTTGGGGTTCAGGGTTTAGGGAACATCAGGGAAGATACTGTTGATGATATAAATCCTGCATTACCTTAAGGACCCTAAAGTATGGGAATTATGGTATATTCCTTATTATGGGTAATGCAGGATTTATATCAGCAACCGTAGTGCAGGTGCGGGTTTGCGGGTTTCGGTTTAGGGTTGGAAGTTTCGCGCTGGAGATCGCGGGTTCCTGTTCTTATAGGATCCTTAAGGGAGGGTGGTTCAAGGGGGGAGGGTATAAGGAATCCTTAGGGGACTGTAAGGGAACCTTAGGGAGTACTAGGGAGAATTAGGGATCACCAGGCTATCTACCCCCCTTGGACCCCCCTCCCTTGAGGATACTACAATGTTGGGAGTTTACATAGAGGATCATGGGACTTAGTAAGTAGGGTTATAGGATTCCTTAAAGGGATCTATAGGGGTACTTTAAGGGTTGGGGTTTAGGGTCTACTTAGAGGATCATGGGACTTATCAAGTAGGGTTATAAGGTAAGTCTAGTTATATCTACTTATAACCGTAATAAAGGTACTTATAACCTTACTTACTAAGTCCCATGATCCTTTAAGTAGGGTTTAGGGTGGGGTGTGACGGATATGGTAGCAGCGCCATACATAGGAGAAACATAAGGTTCTCTATAAACCCTGAACCCTAAACCCTAACCTCAACCTGGAGAAAAGGCCCACTGCATTAAAAAAAACGCAACCTTATAGGGATCATCTTATGACCGCTGTTCGGGCCCTCACTAAAGGCCTACATCTTTTGATCTACGTAAGAGCCTCAGGGGACTTAGTAGTAAGTAGGCTTATACGTAAGGTAATAACTATAGTTATGCCTACTTCTAACCCTAATTAAGCTACTCATAACCCTGCTTTCCTCTAAGTACGTACCGCAGACCTCTGATCACCACAGCCCCTTGCGTGAAGCATGGATGTGATTAGCATATCAAGGGTCTCCAAGGGTGGGATGAAGGTACCCAGAGAGCCCCCTAATCCCCTTAGTTGAGGCATACCTAGGGTTCCTTACATTGAAGGGATCCTTAAAGGGCTCTATAGGGGCTCTATAAGGGAGTTAAGGAATATGGCTTAAGTTATAAAGGGCTTCATATTATGATTTAAGCTATATTGCTTAAGTAAGGCGTGTTGGGCTCTCTGGGCAGGTGGGGCAATCCCATAAAATAAGGAGTCCTAATTTAAGGGATCCTTCGTCCTACCTACCTTCATCCCACCTTTTGAGGCCTCCAAGGATTAGCATAGGCATCCCGATATTCGTTAAGGCCATGAAAGAAACGACTGGTAACGGCAGTAGCTCGCTTGGGTTTAAGCCCCTGCCTATCGCTTGCAGCTCCTTCTTGGTTAACCACTTATATGGTAATAGTCCGGTACTTGTCAAGCAGGGTAGCCGAACCCCACAATGCAGACTGCAGTTCGTACCTGGAGATCTTTGTTGCATGCAAGTGGATCAGACGGATCTGCTGCAGGGATCATGGGTCTGAGTAAGTCGGGTTATGAGTACCTTAGCTGGATTATAAATAGACATCACTATACGAAGTTACTTTGCCTATAACCCTACTTAGCAAGTCCACTGATCCAGGAGCCTCAACCCTAACCCTTAAAGGAACCCTACTTGCCAAGTCCATAATCCTCCAAGCAATGCTCTATTATAGATGCCTTTAAGGAACCCTTGTAGATCCATTTAACAGAACCCCTGTAGATCCCTTTATTAAGGAACCCCTAAACCCTAATCTAGTTGCCTTAAATTAAAAGAACCCTACTTAGGGAGCCCTTTCTATTCCTAGGTTACTGGGCATCCTAGTTAGAGTTTTTGGGGTTTAGGGCTCAGTGTTTCAGGTTGAAGGTTTGGGTTTGAGTTGTTTTTTCTTGTGAGGCTATGTGGGTAGTTGTCAAAATTATGGACCCGTTTTTGGGTACACTAATCATTAGGTGCCGTATTATAACAAGGACCCAAAAGAGGACGTTAATTGTGACAGCCACCCATGTGCGGCTCTTTCATACAAATTCAGGTATTTGGGGATGTGGGTTCTGCTAAGTTCTATGGTTTCATGTCCTTAGTTAAGGGTCACTTGTATGGGGTTCTATGGTTTCGTTTCCTTAGTTAAGGGTCACTTGTATAGGGTTGTTTGAGGTTTAGCTAGGGCTTCATACTGAACGCAATATCATTCCGTATTAGCATTTCTTTCATCCAGAGGTTGAAGCTTAAAACCATATTCGCAGAATGTCACAGCTTGGAATGTTCGTCCCATCAAATCTTTGCTGCCCTTTGGTGATTGTCCACAGGAAAGTCTTGCCAGCCCCGCTTTCTGACCCCCCAAAGGTGAACCTACGTTAATGCAAATCACTTCATTACATGGCCACTCTAGCCACGATCTAAACCCTTCGACCCAACGTAAACCTCAAATTCCAACTAAAGCGTGTGCTCATACGGTGGATCGGGCCAGACGGTTGGACCTCGCGATGGTCCGACCCTCAAAACAGCAGCACATAAACACGAGGAAATAAGTATTCTGAGTTGACAAAGCCTTCAGGCACTCGGTGCCAGCCTGCGGCTCGATCACATTCAAAGCTAATGAAGATCAATGTAGTCTCGACTGCAGGCTCTCTGGGTGCTTGTGCCAGAGGTCGGTCACCCGTTGCGAGAGCATGCTCAAGATACTGCGACCTTGAAACCCTAAACCCTAAAATCTAAACCTTAAAACCCTAAAGCCCTAAACCCTAAAGCCCTAAACCCTAAAGCTTAAAGCTAAAGCTCGATACCCTAGACCAAGAACTCTGAACCCTACGCCTCTAAACCCTAAACATCCTAAGAGGATCTTGAGCCCGATCCTTTGACAGAGCCCGTAAGAGCAAAACCGTAAACCCCAAGCCCTCAACCCTACCTTTGAAGGAGTAACATGCTTAGAGGATCATGGGACATAGTAAATGGGTTATAAGTACGCTAAACGGGTTGAAAAATAGATCAAACTATAGTTACCTTGCTTTCATAATCCTGCTTACTAAGTCCCTGATCCTTCAAGTGAATCCCTGAAGTTTTGTCCCCCTCTTCAGGTGCTTCTTTCTGAGCGAAGCTCTGTGAGCATCTTGGTGGCATTTGCGGAGCTGCTCTCCCTTTGATCCCCATTACCTATCCTCTGAACTTTTTGGGTTCTTATAGTTTCGTAGGAAACGGAAAGCTTAACCTTTTATTTCTGTGGCTTATTGGGGTAGTGAGCTCCTGTAAAGGGATATGGGTGTTCCTCTAAGGATTCCTGTAAGGGGATCCTTCAAGGGGATCCAAAAAGGGTCCTTGAAGGATTCCTTTGCGGGCTCCTTTAAGGGGATCTGTGATATGGGTCCCTTCTGAGATGCAGGGCCTAAGCCTGAGCCATTGAGTTTGTAATATAGAGGCCTTCGCCATCATGCTGCATGAAGGCAGAAGGAGGACTTCTCTTGTGCCCTAAACCTTAAACCTTGCAGTGTGACCCAGCTTTTATTGGAATAGTTTGTCGGGTTTTTGTGGGGATTTTGGCGATTCAAGAACGGAGCTTTTCCTGCACACCTTCTGTTCGGGTTGAAGGTAAGGAAGATTCACAACTTAGTTTCTCTTCAGGTCTGGTAAACTACGAAAATCAAGCCTGAATCCTAGACCCGATGCCCCATGTCCTAAACTCTAAATCCAAAGCACCTAACCACTCGACCAGGAACGTCCGGAAATGTAGACTCTTGATAAACGAATTCAATGGTTTGTGGTCGTCTTGATGTCAAGACCGCGATGATCTTGCAATCCTTCTTAAGGAAGAGGCCTTGTTCATCAGAGGCCTACGGCAAGCTATCCCATTGGTATGAGTCAGGAGGCATTACTTACTGTTTTTCCAGGATACGTGGGCTCTCTGGAATTGTCCTTTACACCAAGACCAAGACCCCCGAACTCCCACACCCTTACTGGGCGCCGGGAAAACCCAGTTTACCCAAGAGTTTAGGGTTTAGGGTTTAGGGTTTAGGGTTCCAAGAGGTACTCCT